ACTTCAGATCATCGGCAGATGATCGGCGATATCTGAGACGCTGCAGATATATTAAGTTATCTATTTCAAGCTTGACAAGGCTATGAACAATTGGATATTATCATTGAAGGTAGGCATATACTCCAATGACTAAATCACCGTACAGATAACCTATGGATATCGTAAGTGGAATAGCCCAGTTGACAGTCGAAGCAGACCAATGTAATGCATTGCAGCATCGGTCATCAATACGTCCCTATAAATTGAGTTTTATCGCTGGCCGTCTAACTCGACGATGATGAGATCTTGAGGATGCTTGATTGAGCATTTCGGCTGCAGGTTTTTAGGCGCTACTGGTTTTCATTTCCGTGATGCAGAGATTCTGGTAACGCCGGGTGACCTATCCCGCTCTAGCAGGACTGGAGGAGAAGAGAAGACTCCCGTCGGACGCCACTCTGACCATCCTTTATTTGACCACCTCTTGGCCTCATATGCGGCCTCTCAGCAGTGGCGGCATCCTATGTGGGCCGCTCGCCGGCCGACCGGCCTCCACTTAGCCGGGAGGCGACAGAAGCCCCCTTTGAGCGGCGTGCCAGGGCCGGATTTGAGGAGATTACTCCTCTGAGGCCGCGCCGACCGGAATAACCCTGGTTCTCTGTCATCGGTGGTCCCCGGGGTTTCATTAGCGGCATCTGCCGTAATATGTCACGAAACGGACGCAGCAGCGCCACTGCTTATCAATGGTTATTTAAATATCACCACATATTTTTCGTGGAGACTGATGCGAATGAAGTTTCAGAAATGTTATGTATGTGGGCTGAGAAAGTTTGTGTTTACTGTTTTTAAACGTTCCTCCAAGGAATTCAGAAGTCTGAATTCGGCAGAGAATCAGTTGCTGCGGGTCTTTAAATACACATACACATCATCATATCATTAAATGCTGCACAGTCGGCACAGGGTCCATACACAAACTCAAACTGGCCCGTTTTTGCTTCTCAACAGCGGTTGACATTTTCTAGGGGACGCGGCGACACGACTCGCTAACTGGAGAGGTGAGACCGTTGCTGCCTCTATCCGGAGGCAGCGTCGCTCCGTTAGCTGGCAGCGCACGTAAAACGACCAACATAAACTGAGGAATCCGGCGGCGCGGTGGCGCATTTTGATCACGCGCGGCATTGGCGGCGCACCTGGGGCGTGCCAATTGACCGGCCCGGCGGCCGGCGCGGCCGGTCGACCCGGCGCGGCCCATTTTATGGAGTCGACCGACCGGTCAATCAATGGCGGCGCCAGCGGCCGGCTAAATCATGCATGGAGGTCGATCTCCATTAGCTATGCGTGTCGGACAGTGGCTGTTCAGGCGCTCCACTTGGTCCCTCAGTTCGATAGTTCCTAACATCATATCATTTGTTTCAAGAGAAGAATGATAATGGTGATTTGAAAACGGGGATGACGCTATACCTCTTCTGAATGTTTCTTCGGAGCTTAGCTATACATTGATCAAACATCATAATGATTGGTTAAGAGCGCTATCGGTGCTGGGGGCTTTCATTTAACCAGCATTACTGAACACATAACAAACGTCTGTTATCCATTGAGAAGCCCTTGTTCAACAGCGATAAGGACAACAGCCGAGCTTAAATGACAAGACCTAAAAAGACAGCAACACATCAGAAAATCTCTGCTAAGTGATTGATTTCAGTCGATGACTTTGCGTCGTAAATGCGAACAATTATAAGCATTATTAATGTTTGTGCTAGACGACGCGCTTATGACAAGCAAATCACATATTTTCAATACCAAACTCAGAAAGTGATGTGTCAATAAATACGATCAAAACCGATTAGATTTTGATACGGTTGATATTGAACTTTTGTTGCCTTGATCAACATTTTAAATGGCATTCGGTTCCGATCCCTAGAACTCACTCTGAAAAATTTACACCACCGGTGATCCCTGCGCCGACCTCATATAATGTCGGGCCCACAGCGTGCCCGCAGGTCGGCCGTTCATTGGCAGCGCTCGGCCTTTTTGGCAGCCGACCGCCCTGCCGGCCGGCCGGAGTGCCGGTGGCCGCGAAATGGCCGTCATCCACGCCGGCGATTTGATGTTACCGTATCTCCGATACCGACCAACACGGAATGTATGACCGACTCCGAGGATATCTCGCCGTCCAATGTCGCCGTGGGGATGGCATTGGTGGCGTGCCATTTCAAATTGCACGGCGGTTTCATGGCTTCATTCGTTGACTGCCTCCGCGCTGCTCAGACAGCTATACCGCAGAAGGTGTAATTTGGGCCCAACCGCGATGCAAGGTCAACTCCATAGCTGTTGTCTGGTCACACGGCGGTGCGCCGTGTACCCAGCAAATGCTTCACATTAAAGGTAGTGTGCCAGCTTTCTTGGACCGTATGGAGTTAATGGCCCAGATAAGGAGAACCGGATTTTTAGAACTTATCCATACCTTCAAAACTCATGGAAACGTCTTAAATTCTTCAAATTTTGAGTACCCCAGTGCGAAATTCGCCCCGACGGGTTGTCGGTCGTACCCCAACCACATTTCACACCACTATGAACAATAAATGCACACACTGAAATCGCTATTACCGATATGCTCATCCAATCAAGTTTCGATAAACCCGTTCATCATCATCTCCTGCGGTTTCGAACACGCCTGTTAGGTGGCTTCTGATGCTCGTCGAGGTCGGAATTTCCAAATACGCGTGGTGCGTCGGGCCGCGCGCTCTGACTTCGGCCAAGAAAAATGCGTCAGCTGATCATTGTCATTTCTGCCACTTGCGTGTGGTGAAATGGGGTCATAACTTATAAGACGGCTTTTTCATATCAATTATTTTACATAAAATCACATTTCAAACCATAAATAATGTTCGACAGCCAAATAAAAGAAACAATACAATACGGGCTTACAGTTTAAGGCTCGACATTGTGTTGTCTACGATTAGACAGCTGATAACTCATTCCCGTACGTCGTATGGTCGTAACACTATAATGACCTTTGCTTATTGTCACAAGTGCGCCGCATTCGCGATTGTTGCCCGACGCCTGTTTGCAGGTGAGCCCACTACAGTTGTTATACATATCTAAAAACCGAAAAACTTTTAGGCGAAAAAGGCACTATTCCAGGCCCATTTTTGATTTTTTTTTGCGATATTAGGTAAAAACAGAAGCTTCTTATCCTAGGAAAAATAAAATGGGAAATCTTTCAAAGGTGGCACACTACCTTTAACCCTCGCCCGCACATGGGGGGGGGGGGTTGCCACCCCAAGATAGTCTTTCTGCTCTGCACTCAACATTTTTAGAGCTAGAAGGCTGATTTTTCGTATAACTGCTCCTCCATCCTTTCTTGATGTCCACTGAAAATTTCAAGTTTCTGTGGTTATTGGTTTCGGAGATATGACCTTGTTTTTCAGGTCATGTCATGACCCAAATGGCCAATTCTCGACATCTTGCGTTGGCTATGGGCCTTGTGAGCTTTTGACACCTTGATTTCGGCCTTTTTTACCAGTCTTACCTCCCACCTATCATGGAACATATTGTTCGACGATGTAAAGATGTCAAGGTCAAGGTCAACCTAGGTCATCTAAGATAATTGCGTTTTAGGCAAGCGGAATTTACTTTTTGTGAAGTTTTTTGACTGCATTTTTGGTAAAAGCTTCTCAGATCATGATTTCATGTAATATGGGCACATAAACAATCGGTGCACACATCAGTATACACACAGACACACACAGACATACAAACACATATAATTGACCTTGACCTAACTTGACCTGAAATGACCTCAGCAGCAAAAACCTGGTCGGGTAGTGTGACAAAGAGGTTCTAGCTGGCTTGGCACCAGAAAACGGCATCGAGATCGGTATATGATAAGCAGCGCACTTGATATCCAACGGTGACCCAAAACAGCAACATTTTTTAGTTTGACCTAACCTGGAAGGTCAATGACTGACATGAGAAGGTAAAACTGGGTATCATTGGATTTGTCTCTTCCCAAAAAATTTTTTTTGGTCTTTACCGCTAAGCTCTATCTTTGGTCTTTACCGCTAAGCTCTATCTTCAACAGGAACGAAATGGCGCGGGGGGGGGGTGGCAACCCCCCCCCCCATGTGCGTTCTAGGATGGGAAAATGGCATGTGCGGGCGAGGGTTAATTGAATGATAGAGAGTAGACATATTGCTTGGATAAATTGATAAGAATGAACGGTTCAATTAGGGCCCAATATGTGTCGTCGTTTCTGGAATAACGGCAAATGATAGCCGACTGTTTTTGCAATCAATTGATTCGCCACACAGCGTACAATTGACAGGCTATGTGCTCTTTTATCCCTGCAACATCATTAGTTAAAGCTGTGGCTTCATCTGTTCATGGGATTTTACGTGTTGGTGATCAATACAGCATTCAATCATACTCGTACAATCATACAGTCTTGTTCGACGATGAGCTTTTCTCGCTCGCAGTGTGCATCGCTTCGTAAGCAGGTGCGAGACATCGACTATCTCATGAAAAGATGAAGGGATCTATATCAAAGTCAGAGGGAAACCAGATCAGTGATTGTGGGTATGATCTCAACGCATGTCCTTTATCTCTCAACTCGTTTCCTTTACCTTGGATTATAATTGACGTATGCTATGCCGAAAGAGACGAACCGGTCGGTAACTAATCGAATCAGTCGAACATACAGTGTATGTACTTGCGTCATGTCCGAAAATGACACTGCGTTAGCTTCTGTGTAATTGAAGTTTTACAACAAAAAAGCATGTCAGGTGTATGCCGCAGTCAAGTTTATGTAGCAATGACGCAAAGTTACCATACATTGCCATAGGCTTGGATGATGTTGATAGGCAGAAGCATATACAGCATGTAGTAGCCGGGTGGGCAGTAAGACTTCGGTTCTTACGACGCTCATGAGTACATAATGATTTCCTTTACCAGTAGTTAACTGCGTAGGATCATATAACCAATATGAGGGTGAAGTTGTCTGTAATGTTGTAACGAGCGCCTACCTGTTGGTTTGGCTGTCGTCGTTGTTGAAGTGCTGCTCGTCTTGGGTTTTTCGGTGGCCACAGACACCGGCGGTGTGGTGAACTGGGCCGGCAGTGGAGGTATGGAGTCGCAGCACTCGCGCTCAGGAAACTCGCTGGCAGCCGCGGTGTCCAGCCACACGACAGTCACCATCAGCAGCGGCAGCAGTGACTGCCACCGCCGCCCCAGCGAACCGGTTGTACAGCCGGAGATAAGCGTCATCGTGCTCCGACCGGAGTCAGCTCAGAGCTTAGAGAACCTCAGTCACTGGGACACAAGGCCGCTCTTCACTGGTCGGCGGGACTGAAATTACTTCTTCTAATACCAGTTTAAATGAGTTTGCATCGTGCACTCTGAATGAAAGTTTTTGGTACAACTCCACAAGCCCTAGGCGGTGTTGGCGGTTAGCTATTCATTCCAGCAGTTCCAGCGGCTAGCTATTCACTTCACCTCCAGGGGCCGTCCTTAACGGAGGTGATTTCTTAACAACTCGGCTGTCACTCCCAAAGATTAACCACCGGCATCGCACAACAAGTACGGAATCGAGTGCGATTCGAAGGTGATTCGGCGGATTATCCGATTTTCGATCAGTCTGAATCGAAGCCAGCGAAGCAATTCAGTTTTCGGACACGCCCATCAGGCGCCAGCTGATTCGGTGTCAATAATTAATGTTGATGGACACATCAATAATACTGATTCTTCGAATGGTGAGCTGATGAATTACTTATCACGCTCGTAACCGATGGAGCCTCACAAGTGTTCTAACGATATGGCGCAGACAGAAGCCACACTAGCTCAAATATTGTTCTGCCTCTGTGAGAGTTCTTCACATTGTCTTGATCTGACTAGCCGCAGCAGTTCTTGGCAGGATGCCGTCCACAGGGATTCGATCTGTCAACCTGTCAATTTGTTCCACCCGTCACTCAGGTGACAGATGACGGCTGAAAGGTGACTTCAGACACCCACAGATCAGTGACGCCAGGTGACGATGGTGATGTCAGATGACAGGTGAGCTTCTCACCGACTGGCAGATGACTGACGTCAGGTGACACGACGACGGCGTCAGGTAACGAAATTGACGTCACTGATGACAATAAGCTCGTCACTGATGACGGCGATGGCGTCAGGTGACACTAACGACGTCAGGCGTCACCGTGCGGGCCGGCGGAGGTGCAGAGCGCCCGCGGCGGTGCCGGTCGGCGGCTGTGTCGGCCACGACTGGTGCCGCAGACCGGTGCTGGCCGTCGGTGGCGGGGCGGCAGCGACGGTATAGCGGCCCACCGAGACCGGCCCGTGCCCGGCACCGCGCCCCACCGGCCCTCACGTGACCTCGTCCGCCACCAATGGCCGGTCGACCAATTAAAGAGTCATCTTGTCACCGGCGGCGTAAAGTTCGACCGGTCACTCGTCCGGGAATCAGATTCGGGGAAAACAGAAAGACTTGGCCGGCGAGAATCTTTCAATATCGAACGAACGCGTAGTCTACTTGGATACCTGCACCCTATAAGAACCGAGGTGTGCATGAAGGTGAATAGATGCGCGATAGTCAAACGCAATATTGGTTACAGTCACGAACGGGAATCAATAATTCAGTGCATCAGAGCGTACTAAAATCGTTGCTGTTTAGTTCCCAATGCAGTTTTGAATTCACCAGATGGTCTAAGCGAGACGACGAAACCTCCAATAAAAATGCTGACACGGCCGAAGCTGGCATGGACTACTGCAGCGCGGCGGAACTATGGTGAGCGATGTGGCAAGTTCAGCAATTCTAGCAGTTCCGCTGCCGAGCGCCCGCCGCCCGGAAACACACTAATTGGCAGACGTATAACTGTAAAACTCACCGGTCCATCTCATGTACTTAAAATTTAAGGATATGCAGCTGGAGCCTAAGAGTGTAGTCACATATGTTTACTTGGTGGCAGCAAAACTAGTCAGGCATAAAACGAAGCAAGAGCTTTTTGACTTATACATCCACTTTTTATGCAGGTATACATACGTGACTGGCTATCAATGATCAACTTGTTTGCGGTTGAAAAGACTTCCACTTTTCCAATAAACGTTCCACTTTTTCAACGATGATACAAACGGCTCTGAAAAGCTGTAATGTCAACTGATGGGCGTTTATGAGCACCCTTTCAAAATTTGCTTATATTTTTTTGGAAAATCTTTGCAGATCTTACTGATTTGTAGATCAGCTGACGGCTCCAATGCATCATACGTATGCTATGAACCCAAGTAAATGTTCATAAGCTGTGTCAATGACAGCGCAATCACATTGATTGACCAATCGAAAACGATTCACGCAAATGGTCAATTAACTGGCCACTCATGCGAGCAAATCTACCTAATACGCTGTGAGCAGCGATAAGCGCCGCACGCTGGGTAGCTGAACGGGAGGCATTATTGTGGGTATGGCACCATGTCACATCTCATCACAAGCTCACACGGTGGAATGAAGTTCAAAGAATCCACAACAGCCTCGGCCGTCATGAAAGAGAATGCTGAAAGCTTACTAATCTTACCTGAAGGAACCTAGAATGCTTTAATCTTCGACCTGGCTGCACACAATGACAATATCAAACAAAGGTGTGAAAAACAAAGGAGTTCATCTGACGCAGAGCTTAGTTGAAAATCTTCAGAAGCAAAAAACGTTCGTAACTCATATTTGTTTATTTTCTTCTGCATTTGTTTCATATAACAGTTTGCCAAAAACAGCATCCGTTTTGTATTTTTTTTTATGTTAAAACAAACCTAAGATGAACTATTATGGTTTGACCTTAGCGGTTAATCGAGTAGATTGATCTTAGCTGCCTGATATCAGTACAAAATTCAGTAGGTATATGTAGGCGTTTTCCGACCCCAATAATTGGTTTGATTACGTGAGGTGATTCCGCTTTCTTATCGCTATGTAAAACGCTTTACTAAGCGTCATAAACTAAACAGGAACCCCTTGAGCTTCTCAATTTCCCGCCGAATGCAAGCTCCCAGGCTGTATTGAGGAGGTTTGTACTCAGCTTCTCAGCCATGGCCTAACCATATCTAATCGCGATCAGCGACCGGGTACAAATCAACATACATGTAAAATGCTCATTGTTTAATTCAGTCGGTTTAAATGTTGGCCGTGAATTCAGAGAAGATAATTTATGTCTTGCTCGGGTCAATAAATGAAATAAAACAGAGATCTGAAACCTAAAAATACATCACTTTGGAGTCCATAACGCATTACACTCGACACTCTTAATTAACAAGCGCAAGCGTAACTCAGTTGCCAAGCAGCCAACTATGGTCGTAAACCAATATAGTAACAGCTACCGCCTGTATGCCCAGAGACAGAAGTACAGAAAATATCAACTGACTTTGGCCAACTGAATAGCTGTCGAATAAACGGTAGAACTAAAAGCAATTAACTTTACAGGTACTGACAAATACACCTACTACTTCGCTTCCTCGTCTATCAAAGAGTGGTAGACGGTAACGTTGACCTCACTGCGGCTCCACGGCCCGTGCCCTGAAGTTGACAGACACCAATCTGCGGCAGCCTTGGGTCGCGGTCGCTGCCGCTTAGGCCTTGGATATGGGCTTGTTAAGGGGGATTAGCAGCAGACTGATGGCCCAGTCGGCTCAGCCGTCTGCAGTCGGCGCCCACGGGGAACGGTGGGTCGGAACTGGAGAGGCGCTGCGGGGGGCGGTGGGTCGGCACTCGAGGGCGCCAAGGGGGGCGGTAGGTGGGTAGTCAAGGGCGCCCCCAGGGCCGGTGGGTGGGCAGTCGACACTCAAGGGGTCAAGGGAGCCGCCACCTTTGTCTTTCTGGGGCAGACGAAGCGAAGCGAAGGGGGGCAGGGAAGATTGTCGGGGAGGGGAGATTCTGAGACAGGGGAGATTGTCGTTGCCTGTCACTTAGGACTGATATGTGTTACTGAGAAACACGATTATTTAGGCATTTAATTGAAGAAACTTACTAAATAAAGAAGTTTTATCTTATTAAATCAAGTTCAATCGCAATTACCCTTCGAAATAAGCAACACATATGTAATAAAAATATAGCAAAACTTGTTCGTTTCGAAAATGGGTTTTCTACAAACGAATACATTTCAGACGTAACTTAATGCATATTGTAAAAGGTGGCGCACGGCGCTGTCAGCGTTCCCTGTTGCGTCAGACGATATGATGATCCAGGCTGCTCAAGGCCAGTCACGATCCCTATCGCCGTCGATATTATATATCTTCTGAACGGCATCCCATCAGGATTGCAGCTCGCCTTTAGAGCATGACGGCTCGGCTCTGGCGACAACATAGTGCTTCATTTTCTGTCGGTAAACGGCGTCCATCGGCACAGTAGCTTCACTGAATACTGAAGGCCGAAAAGTGGTAATGGTTACGAGCATGAACACGGCGGCTTCTCTGCGCACTGATGGGCCTTGGCGTGCAAGAGCAGATGTCTCAAATGAGTACCTCAACACCGCGGTGACGCTTAAAAGTGCGGTGTTTCAGCTGAGAGCCTCAGGATGGTGTACGTAAGGATGAAGGGGTTTCACCAAACAGTAGCTCAGCTTGTACCTGGTGAAACTCCTTCATCCTTACGGCACACTGACCGCGCACACCCGCTGCCCCGTGCATTATTCAATGTGCCTCCTGTGCACGGTTCATTGTGCTGCCCCGTCCTGGGAAGCCCCCAATGGTGCTGACAGTGGCTGCGCGACTTTCCCACCCGCCAGACACGTCAAACAATGAGACCGCCCACGACCAGGTCCGATAGAAGCGACTAACAAGTCCTCCGGTCGGTGGCTAGTGCCCAGCTGTGAATGGTAGAAGGTGGAAATTAACGGCAGGTTCCATTGTTGAACGGCTTCGGCCTTCGGCCATTACACAATGAGTAAGTATACCAAAATCGGCAGGTGAAGTGGCACCCGTTAGGTCGGTCTTTGACAGCAGCGCCTCTTGTGGCCATAAAACGCAACTACCGAGGTCACACCTGACGCCAGTCTTGAAATCAGACGTTCAGTTTTTCGGATACAGGTGCATCAAGTAGGTAATGTGGCAAAGTAGGTAATGGCTTTATAGATAATGCGTCAAGATGGAATAAGGAAAACAATATGGGATTAGTTTGCTAAGCATCAGATGGAGCAATAGAAGCAATAGAAGCAATCAATTGCCCAAGGTATATTGAAAAAAAAAACTGTTATCAAAATTATTATCCGCAACATGTGACATTTAAAGTACTTGAAACCGAAATATGTTTAAAATTATCAAAAAGTCCGGACTTCAAAAATCAGTCGCCATTTGTGAGTGATTATGAAGCACGTAAAATAGGCAATCAAAATAAAGAGCAAAAATAACCAGGTGCTCAGCTACAAAAAGTCCGGAGAGTTATATTGAAAGGAATGCTATTGCTAGCATTTAATGTTATAATGTAAGTTCGAACGAAGAGCAAAACCGCTAAAAAGTTGTTTTCGTTGATCTTGGTAAGAGGTATTGATCATTGAGGTGTATATCAAGTTCCACTCTGAAGTCTGGGCATAGACTATACTTTACATCAGTAGTCTTATGTCTGGGGAATGCCATTCTAAGGCCGAATCTGTCCCTAACCGTAGCTCAGTTGGTAGAGCGTCGGACACCCGATGGTGAAAGCCCGGGAATGAGTCGCTTCGGCGCTGGATATTTGAGACTCCTGACGAGGTAGGTCTGCGGTTGGTGGGAGCAGCCACAGCCAGTTGAAGTCAGTTGAGTGAGACAGGCCGTGTCCGGCCTTGAAGGGCATGTTTAAGTTTGATATCCAAGTTCTCCTGTTACCCGGAATTGCGCGATCGGACGTTATGGGTGGGGGTCTACGCGACAAGCTCTGCTTGGCGTAGGCTCCGGCTCGGTCAATCCGTCAATTTGAACATTCGAGCTAGATTTATTTGAGAAAGATGTGCTCGATGGCTACGGTTTCGGTATAGTAAAACTAAGCATACATTTGCTATCTATCCCACACCATTATTTACTTCGCTGGTCCAGGCCCATTCGGTCTATCGAGAGTCCGAGACCATTAGAGGGCGCAGAATGAGATAATATATAGATGAGATATCAACAATTGGCGCGCCTCAGCGGCTGAGGCCATGGAACGAGGGTGCCCCAAGTGAAACAGGCCATCCAGTCACTCAATCGGGGGAGGCAAAGAGACGCGCTCCTATTGTAGCTTCTCTCCTCGGTTATCTGCTGAGATGACTTCCAGTCCGGAACAGAGCGGTGTGATCAAGGATGAGGGGATTGATCGGAGCGATGACAGCTGAGGTGCCCTGGACAGTTGGACACAGCTCAGTAAAATGCCCCTCGTAGGGGACAGTGGGGTAATTTGGCCGGTGGTATAAATTGGCCGCCCCCACCTGTACAATGTCTAATAAAAGTTAGTGAAATAACTCAAATCTCTATTCATTTGTCATGGGTAAAAATAACTGGAGGACAAATGTCAAAACTTTGCCCCTCGTAGTTTTATTCAAAATTAATAAAACGTTACTTTCATTAGAAAATGGTAACTTTTACTTCTGTTTACAAAGTTGTATAACATGTAGTATTTGGGCTAAAAACGAATTCAGACATTATAGCGCCATTCTTGGGGGTGTTCAGCGGTTCCAAGAGCAATTTTATCTAATTCCGTAAAGCCGTGATGACTTTTTTAGACAACAATTTTCAGAATGGCAATAACCGTGTTTCCATAGGGTTCCCTTAATCCTCCCCTATTTGTAAAGGAATCCTCTGTCTCCTTTACCTCGCTTCACTACAAATATGGCGCAACTAAGTCATTCTAGAAGCAGTTTGCAATTTTTACTTACCTTTAGGGCTCTCCCAAATAGCTTCCAGACTAGACACTGAGGTAAAAGTGATAGCACATGAAAGCTCAAAGCAAGAAAAATCAGAAAACTATCTGGCATTTAACATACTTTAAACGGCTGAGCTATTATTCAAGTAGGTGTAATCACATCAACGGCAATATCAGAACACCGCACCTGTCGAATTTCTGCCTTGACTTTCTGCCGTTTATGCGTTAATGCGACATAAAAATCAGGGGGGTGACACGGCTATTCGCCCAATGTATTCATTTATGGGCCGCGCGGGGCCTCGCGATGACGCGGCTGGAGGCAACTGCTCAGCGCGCTAGGATACTTCTGGCGGGGCCGGGCGCTGAACGGTGTGCAATGAATGGGTTATGGTCGGGCAGACAGAGATGAGGTATTGAATTTGAATTGACATCAGCAATCGGGTGGGGAAGGAGAACGTTTCTAATCGAGCTTGGGATGGGGAAAGCCGAAAATATCACGATCGGCTCATAGCTCCGACAGGGCCGGGTGCCGTACCATGTGTAGTATATTTAGGCGGGCAGACAGAGATGAGTTATTATATTTAAATTCACCTTACCATCGGTTTCTGGTGGGGTTTGAAGACGTTTTTAGTCAAGCTCGGAGTTGGGCAACCCACTGGCGGATCCAGGGGAATGCATTTGGGGCAAATGTCTTCCCCCACAACCAGGGCAGCGCCCGAAATCGCTTTTTGAGAATAAAAGAAACCTTCACAACTTTTCTGAGGAAATGCTGGTTAATCACTGTTAAAGCCGAGTATCCTTTTATGTTGGCTGCAAAATGGATCTTAATCTGTCGAGTTTTTCTTCTGTTGGCAGGTATCTTATGTTAACGGCACATGTCTTATATATATATTTTTAGCGTTTGTCTCGTGAGGTCAGATTTAATTTGCTGATTCAATTGTTGTTTCGTTGGCCAGAGATTATGTTATTTTTCTAGGTTTTGGTATCGCTTTTTTGTCATTTTTATGTTTTATGCTTTTGCGTCCGTTTACAAAATCACCAAAGGACAGTGAGCGGGTGAGCGGCGCGAAGCGGAACGAACGAACCAGAACGAACGAACGAACCTGTACGAACGAACGAACTTATACGAACGAACGAACTTATACGAACGCCAACGAACGAACGTCAAATCGGCGGTTCTTGCCGGTGGCTGCAGACCTGAAACAATCCGTGAGTTTTCTTTGCGTTTATGTGTTTGTGTGCTATGTGTTTCGTTTTATTTGGTTACTACTTCTATCGTACTTATATTTGGTTACGTCTTATATCGCTACTGACTGTCTTTTTTAATTGTCATACTTATGGACCTGTTGGTGTTTTGTTTCTTGCAGAAAACCGTTTTTAAATACAATGAGTATTGGATCCTGAACTCTGAAGCTCCACCGGTAAAAGTTTTGGATTAGTTTGGTATCGTCTTACTCCGGAAATTAAGAAATCAAGTTGAATCCAATGTTCGTCAGTACGAAAACTGCAAGAAGAATCAACAAGGTGGATTAATTCGATTCTGATCTGTGTGAGAGGCACAGTAAGTTCTGCAAGACCTTCAAATCTATCATCCCAAAATCTAAGGTACAGTGACTTCATATTATATTCTTCGGCGTTCTTCAGCAACCTCACGGCTGTCTTCTGGAACCTGCTGGGTAGGGGTTCGGGCTTCTGTTGTTGGGTCAGCTTAGGCCTCTGTCTGTTGTTGAGCTGGTTTGATTTTCTGTTGTTAACGAATACGATTACGAATTGCGCATTGCGACATAGGGCGAGTAGTGCTACTAAGTACTAACTGATCGGTAGTAAACGAACTTATATGTATGTACACAAGATCGAACAAGATCACGTATTGCTTGATGTTGAGGTCTTGTAATTTCGTTTAACTGAACTTTTAGTAGGTAATTTGCGTGACATGTAATCACGTTCTCACTGTCCTTTTATCCCTTTAGCCCAACCTTTTGTTATTGTTTTTTTTGTTTTTACGTTTTGTTTTTCATAATTGCTTTATTCTTAATTCCTTTATTCTCTTTGTCTTGTTATTTTTAACATATTATTAGCACTTATCGGCTAGCCATCTATCGTTTACTATTTCACCATATTTGGCTTAGCATCCATTTTGCAAGTCAGCATACACTGCTACCCGGTGCTATACACCCAACTTTTAAACATGTCGGGAAATTTCAACAATATAACTCGGGGGCAGTTGCGAATACTGCTTGATAAGATGGGACAGGATACACAAGGGACAAAATCTGTTTTGATTGAGAGACTTCAAACTTGCCTAAAGGAAGATAATTCTGCATGCCGCTCAAATAGCCCAGTCGTGCCTTTACAACCGGACGCTGATGACGTGCCAAGGCTTAGCACAAGATCACCATTAAAACCTCCCGATATTTCTGGCCTCGAGGCAGCACGTATTCATTGGGAAGTAAGTTCACAAGCTTCGGCCTCGTCTTCGATAGTCTCCGAAAGAGTACGCCGTGCAGGACTACAGGCTAGGGCATCATATTTAGAGCAGAAACATTTGCTAGATCGCCAAGCGCAGGAACTTAAGGCTAGGCAGGAGATGTTGGAGTTGAAAATGCAAATTGGGGAAGTCAGTGCGAGGGAAGCAGCGTTAGAAAGGGAGGAGGAAGGAATTGCAATGGGTTTTCAGGAAACTGAACGTGATGACGCCGCGTTTCGGGATAACGCGCCAAACATGCAATATGTTTCTCATTCTCCCTCAGCTCATTCGCCCTCAGCAACTAGGGACCACTTAGAGGACGTTCATGCCTCACAGTCAACCCAATCGAACGTGCGTAGCGACATAAATCCTTCTTATGACCTGGCTAGACGACTCCATCTTCCTCCTTTGGAGATTTCAACGTTTGATGGAGATTTAAGTAAATATAAATGTTTCATGCGGGCTTTTAAGTCAAATATTGCTACAAAGGTAGATGATGAAGATGAAAAATTGCATTATTTATACCAATACACTTCCGGACGACCAAGGGAGATTGTCTCCACATGCTTACACCTGCCACCAACGAGAGGGTTCGTGGAAGCGGTAAGTTTGCTGGATAAACGTTACGGGTGTCCGTTTCAGGTGGCGTCGGGTCTGGTCGATACCCTGATACAATGCCCCGCGGTGAGGCTCGATGACGTCCAGGGATTAGAAACGTTTGCTATTCAGTTGAGGGGAACCATGAATGCCTTGTTAAGCCTCCCATGCGGAACGGATTCAGTCGACATCAAAACCGTCCGTTTGCTCTTAGACAAACTGCCTTCGTTTTTTAAGGATAAATGGCGGATCAAAGTCGATGATATTGAACAAACAGAGCAGCGAAAATCAGACTTTAGAGACTTTGTTTACTTCATTGAAAGGGAGGCGCGCATTGCATCCAACCCGTCATATGGGAGACATTTAACAAATGTAACGAAAAATTACCAAGATAGAAAACATGAAAGCAAATATCACGCGAGAGGGACACTTTTAGCCGGTAACGTCAGCTCTCATCACTCCTCGTGTCTTTATTGTCAGCAGGATCATGAAGTCGCCGAGTGTCCCGAGTTGAGAATGCAGAGCAGAGATGTCAAAATGACGTTTATACGGTCAAATAAGCTTTGCTTTGGTTGTTTGTTACCGAATCATTTAAGCAAATATTGTGAAAATAAAAAGATTTGTACAGAATGTGGGAGTCGGCACCCAACTATCCTTCATTTTGACCGAAAACAAACTCCACTCTCAACAGTCACTTTGGGCCATATTGCATCAAGTGGAGGAGCAAAATTGCAAGTCGTACCAGTGTGTGTTACGTTATTCGGGGTGACGAAGTTCACGTCTGCCTTTTTGGACTCCGGCAGCACACATTCGTTCATTTCAAGAAATTTACTCGCTAGTTTAGGGGTTGAACCAGCCGAAAGTACTTCAATTACTCTTTCTACTATCAACACAGATCACAAATTTGAAACATGCGTTGTTTCGAAGGTTACCATGGAGGATTTACAACACAACAATAAATTAGAACTTCCTCCGTTATTTGTTCTAAATAAGATCCCAGTGTCCATCGAGGATGCCCCGAACGTTAGAGATTTAAACAAATGGCCGTACTTGAGACAAAACGGGGTATACTTAGAAGAAAACTTTAAGCACGACGTAGGCCTTCTACTTGGGAATAATGTGGCGGCGGTGATGGAGCCGTTTGAGGTGGTTCCCAGTCAGAACGGCGGGCCATTCGCCGTGAGAACCAGGTTCGGATGGGTCCTAGGTGGGGTTGATAAGGATTCTCCGGTTCGTCTGAAAGTTAACCAATTGCAAGTGGCTCCTGACGACGTTTATGGTAATAGGGCTGAATATCGGTTGGGTCTGTCCGCAGAAGACATTAGGTGGCACGAAATGGTAAAGGCATCGTGCCAGCTGATAGATGGTCGGTACGAAATAGCCCTGCCGTTTCGTGATCCAAGTCTTAAACTTCCAAACAATAAGTCTGTGGCTTATAGGCGCCTTGTGCAACTGAAGCGCAGATTCGAGAATCAGCCCCATTTCTTGAGAGAATATGCCAAGCAAATTGATAAACTGTTAGACAACGGCTACGCTGAAAGAGCTCCCGATCTCTCGAGCAATGCAGAAGGTAGGATATGGTTTGTGCCCCATCACGGAGTCGAACACCCTGTTAAGAAAGGCAAATTACGCGTTGTTTTTGACTGCGCTAGCTCCTTTCAAGGAAGAAGTCTAAATGAGGAGCTTTTACAAGGACCTGACCTTACCAACACCCTGACAGATGTTCTACTTCGTTTCCGACAAGAACCCGTTGCCTTCATGGCGGACGTCGAGGGTATGTTCTTACAGGTGAGGATTCCCGAGAAACAACGTGATTTTTTGCGTTTCCTATGGTGGCCCAATGGAAACATCGCCTCGAATCCTAAGGAATATAGGATGACAGTTCATCTTTTTGGCGCTGTTTCCTCTCCTAGCTGTGCAAATTTTGCGCTTCGTCGCACCGCTCTAGACAATGAACGGTTGTACGACCCATTGGTGTCTAGGACAGTTCTTAATAACTTTTATGTGGATGATTGTCTTGCATCGACTGGAAAAGAAGATGTTGCTGTGAAGCTGGCATCTGATCTTAAGCAATTGTGTCTGAGAGGTGGATTTAATCTCACCAAGTTTGTTAGCAATAGCGTTACAGTTTTGAAATCCATTCCAGAAGTTGACTACTCGCCCGGTATCCAAACACTAGATTTGACATCAGATACTTTGCCTTCTGAGCGAGCCTTAGGCGTTGGCTGGAACGTTCGTTCTGATCGCTTAGAATATCAAGTTGACTTGCAAAAATTTCGGGGCAAGCCTGTCACAAGACGAGGGCTTCTGTCCGCCACAGCAGGTCTTTATGATCCACTGGGGCATGTTGGTCCGTATGTAATGCGGGCCCGAATGCTCTTACAAGAGCTGACTCGCCTTCGTTTAGGTTGGGACGATGAGGTGCCATCCCACTACCACAGACAGTGGAAGCAATGGTTAGCAGATCTAGAATGTCTATCCCAGTATAGTCTTCCCAGGTGCATATGTTTCGGTGGCCTTTCCTCTGCCGTCCTCCTCGAGCTGCATCACTTTTCGGATGCCAGCGAAAGGGGGTACGGGGTGGCCTCGTACGTGCGAGCCGTCAATGGAGACGGTCAACTGTCTTGCAATCTTTTGGTCAGCAAATCCCATTTAGCACCAATTAAGCCTCTCAGTATCCCAAGGCTGGAGCTTTCTGCTGCAACACTAGCTGTCAAAGTCAATTTAGAAATACAAAGAGCGTTTCCATTCGATTTTAAGCCAGACATCTTCTTCTGGACTGATAGCACTACAGTGTTGAAATATATACAAAATGAGGCAGCGCGATTTCATGTGTTCGTGGCAAATCGTTTGGCAGTTATACGAGACGGCTCTTCAATAGACCAATGGCGATGGGTTCCTTCGGAGTTAAACCCAGCCGACATTTTGTCACGCGGGTGCGATGGAACTACCCTTCTCAAAGAGTGTATGTGGCGTCAAGGTCCATCGTTTCTACTTGAATCACGGGAGAAATGGCCCCGATTCCCTGTCTTAGAAGATAATGCAGAGGACCCTGAACTAAGAGTGACCACTGTTGCATTAAACAGCCGAACAGAAAATGAAACAAAGATTCAAAAGAATTCGAGCATTCAAAAATTGATTGATCATTATTCCTCGTGGCAGCGTTTGAAGAGAGCAGTTGCGTGGGTACGACGCGTTATAGACACATTGGCTGGTAAACAGAAATCAGCACGAGCATCAGAGCTGACTGTAACAGAGCTAAAGTCAGCCGAGAATATTATCATCAGGGAACTTCAGGGTCAGTACTATGTGGAGGAGGTAGAGAATCTGAAAGCAGGACGGGAAGTGCGGCGGTCCAGCAGCCTTGTGTCTTTGGACCCCACGTTGGAGGATGGTCTTCTGAGAGTAGGAGGTCGTTTAGGGCACGCGATGGGCGTGGCCTATGAAAGTAAACATCCTTTGATTATTCCAAATAAAGGGCGAATTCCGGAATTAATCATACGGGATATTCACGAGAGGATTGGCCATGCAGGTCGTCAATGTGTCCTGGCGGAATTGCGTAAGAGCTTTTGGCTAATCAAAGCCAATACGGCGGTTAGGAGATGCCTCCACCAATGCCTCCGCTGCCGCAGGCTTTTTCGTACTACGGAGACGCAAAAAATGGCTGATTTGCCTGCAGATCGAATACAGCAAAGTGAGCAGCCATGGGTGAGTACCGGGGTAGATTATTTTGGACCATTCTATACCAAGAGAGGGCGTGGACAGGTCAAACGTTACGGTGTCATTTTTACATGCTTGGCCATTCGCGCCGTCCACCTGGAAGTAGTCGAAAGTTTGTCGTCCGACTCTTTTATATGCGCCCTCAAGCGCTTCGCGGCCAGGCGGGGCTCACAAATAAGAATCATGCGTTCTGACAACGGGACAAATTTTGTGGGAGCGGATCGTGAGCTGAAAAAAGAGCTCGAGTTTCTTGTTCAGCATGAGGCCCAAATTCGGAGAGACTTGATAAATCGAGGTATTGAATGGCGTTGGAACCCTCCTGGTGCCTCTCACTTCGGAGGCGCATGGGAGCGATTGATTAGGAGTGTTCGTAAGATACTGAGCGGTTTACTCAGGGAGCAAACATTTACTGACGAAACACTAACCACATTCCTTTGTGAAGTGGAAAGCATTATGAATAATCGACCCTTGGTACCAGTGACAAGTGACCCTCGAGACGACCTGCCGCTAACGCCCAATCACTTGCTGCATTTACGTTCTGTTTTGCTACCAGCCTCAATGGTGACAGATATAGATGCGTTTAGCAAAAAGAACTGGAAACGAGCATCGTTCCTTGCAGAGCAGTTTTGGCGACGTTGGCGTGCGGAATATCTCCCATTACTTCAGCCAAGGGCCAAGTGGTCAAGGCTCCAGACAAATTTGCAGGTAGGCGATGTGGTGCTTATTGTTGACAGTTCAGTTCCGCGGGGTGTGTGGCCTCTTGGCTTGATAGAAGAGGTCAGAACAAGCACTGACTCGAGGGTACGATCCGTCAAAATCCGGTGTAAAGGTACCACGATTTGGCGGCCTGTTCAAAAGCTAGTTAAAATCACGGAAAGTTAAAAATCTCTCAATCTGAATAAATTTGATCCCATAGTATCAAATGGGCCGGGTGTTAAAGCCGAGTATCCTTTTATGTTGGCTGCAAAATGGATCTTAATCTGTCGAGTTTTTCTTCTGTTGGCAGGTATCTTATGTTAACGGCACATGTCTTATATATATATTTTTAGCGTTTGTCTCGTGAGGTCAGATTTAATTTGCTGATTCAATTGTTGTTTCGTTGGCCAGAGATTATGTTATTTTTCTAGGTTTTGGTATCGCTTTTTTGTCATTTTTATGTTTTATGCTTTTGCGTCCGTTTACAAAATCACCAAAGGACAGTGAGCGGGTGAGCGGCGCGAAGCGGAACGAACGAACCAGAACGAACGAACGAACCTGTACGAACGAACGAACTTATACGAACGAACGAACTTATACGAACGCCAACGAACGAACGTCAAATCGGCGGTTCTTGCCGGTGGCTGCAGACCTGAAACAATCCGTGAGTTTTCTTTGCGTTTATGTGTTTGTGTGCTATGTGTTTCGTTTTATTTGGTTACTACTTCTATCGTACTTATATTTGGTTACGTCTTATATCGCTACTGACTGTCTTTTTTAATTGTCATACTTATGGACCTGTTGGTGTTTTGTTTCTTGCAGAAAACCGTTTTTAAATACAATGAGTATTGGATCCTGAACTCTGAAGCTCCACCGGTAAAAATCACACTGCACAGCAGTGCGCAAGGAATCGAAATCCGAGTTTTTTTTTAATTAATTCCGAGAAACCTTTTTGGGGTAAGCTCCAAGACCGCTTCTTGGATCCACCAGTTGTGAATAAGTCACGGTCGATACCGAGCTTCGGCGGGACCAGGCGCTGTATACGTTGTTCTTTCAATGAAGAGGTGGACAGACACCTAGCCCCACATCCTACTGCTATGCCCGTGATTCTGTGGGTGAAGCACTAAAGCATCACGGAATCCCACAGGACCTGCGAGTCGACGAGGTGGCCGGCGGCCGCTTTGGCCGCCGGGTACTGCAGCTCCCTGGAGTTGCCTGGGACCGATGGCAAAACAACAGCTCCGGCGGTGCCCTATGGGCCGTAGTAATTAGTGAATTCCCATTTCCCGTAATGTAGAGATTATATCCTCAATGATCTCCATTACCATTTTATATTCCTAAACAGTATGACTAGACCAATTATGCTTGCCTACGTTCAGGCATTACCTATGATAGTCATACGCCCAGTACAACATGTGTTGTCTGTCAAACAACAATCAACGAGAGGATCCCTTCTCATCATCTGTCAATTCACGCACCGTTCCCCTAAAAATAGACGGTCAGATTCGGCCTGGGTCCTTACAACCCCTCTTCGTATTCGCCAGAGACGGGATCGGATCGCCGTTATTGCACCCGTCTTAGTGTCTTTAATACTATGACAGCTTCGATCACGGACGTCGGACGGGGTGACCGTTCCACGAATGTACGCACCATCCAGGCCTAGGATGCATCGAGGTTTAAAAGAATGCAGTCTGTAGATCAATCAACATAACAATGGTGGCATGCAACCACATTAAAATACCTCCCCGGCTCCCGCAACGTTCCAACGCCCCTCCGTTATGCATTTGCCTTGTGTGTCCGCCGAGCCGGCTTGCCTCCAATGACGTCATCGGCCGGACGGCGGCGTTCAAGGTCAAACGGCTGGTGTCCTTACCTGGAGTTCTATAGCCTTGATAAAAATCCTCAGTCGGCGCACGTGCGCTTGTCGAGTCGGGGACCACCAGTCGGACGATTCGGAACTGCCGGCCAATCAGCACGCCGCTTTTGTGATTTGGTAGTTTGAGAACCACTGGATATGGTAGCGTAGCAGCTTTTGGAATGGCGCTACGCTACCAAATCCTCCCCTATTTGTCGCTTAAAGAGGGAATTGAAGGGCAGGATAAAAATACTTCAAAATATGAATTGTTGAATTTCGAGTATTAAATAAGCCCAATTTATGTTGTTTACAGCATAAACGATGCTTTGTATGCTTCTAACAACAATAGCGCCCATAGCAACGTTACACGCGTTCGCTATGATGCCTAAAATTCGATCTGAAAATAGGGGAGAAATAGGGGAAGATTAAGGGAACCCTATGTAAACACACCTAATAATATGGGGTAATTTGGCCGGGACTAGCGGGGCAACTTGGCCGGTGCGCTCATGGTCACTACGCTGGGACGGCCGAGTTTTCATGGTCAATTGTACCATAAATGACATGATTTATGACCAACTTTGACTGCTTTGATGCCTTACTTCCGATTGGTCAACTGTAAGAGCATGTGACGTCATCAAAGGTTACCAAACGTTTTCTGCTAATAAATCCTTACATAAAAATGGTACAGCCGCACAAATGGTCTCATTCTGTTCAGCTCGCCAACCAAGGCGCATCGAATGATATGCATGATGACCATGAAATCACGTGACCTTGAGGTCAAGCGACCTGATGCAACGTGACCTGAGGTCAACCTTTGACCTTGACTTCTCAAGGTCAACACATATATCTTTCGATGCGGACTGACGAGAGAATTACGATGGTACTCGAAGTTTTGGCCTAGCTTCATTACTTCAAAAGTTATTCGTAAAAAACTGTGATCGCATCTAGAGCCGCTAATTTGGCTATTTTGACCCCTGTGACACCTGAGCCAACCTCCAAAATGCGGCAAATGCGTCATAGGACACACGTCATTGCTGAATCTGAAGCTGACTCGCAATATAACAGAAAATCCCGACCGCAAACTAACACCGGCCAAATTGCCCCACACCCCCGGCCAAATAACCCTGCTAGTGGGGCAATTTGGCCGCCTTGCAGATCTTTGAAATACGTCACAATTTCAATATAAGTAATTACTCTATCATTTCAAGTTCACTGTCCAATAAAGTAAAATGAATGCGACACCTGCCAGCGTTGAGAAAATGCAGAAATGAGTCGTCAATTTTAAGTTATATCGTTTTCTAAAAAAAGCGGCCAAATTACCCCACTCTCCCCTACACAGCCGAACGCTCGGCCGAGGCACGATGCGATAATAATCCATCCTCGGCATCGCAGTCCAATACGATGCCGCTTTGTCCGTAAATCCGTTCGATATGATATTGCCACGTCTGCAAATTCGTTGGTTCACCCTATACGATACAGTCTCATCCGTGGGGCCGCCGCTGACCGTTCGTGACCAACCGTGCCTCACGAGTCCTCAGCCCGCTCCAACACAATTCCGTCCTTGGATCCGTCCGATACGATACGGCGCCATCCGCCAATAGTCTCATCGGTGCGATACGTGACGGTGCGGGCGGCCGCGGCTGCGTCGATGTCCTGTTTGTCTGGGGCTGGAGTGACGCCCGGCTGTCAGCGCCACCTGACGGGGACGCCGGCGTTCACAGGCGACCCGGCCGCGACCCCGGCCCGCTGATAAATGGCCACCGCGACCGACCGACCGTTGTCCCTCGACATGCAGGGTGGCCAGTCGAGCCGAAGCTGGGCGAAGGCCGAGGGAGGATGGCCAACTACTGATGGGAGGTTCTGATGTCCATAAGGCATGCGAAGACTAAAGCCGCAAAAACGTCGAGAACTGCGATAATAGATTCTCTGAGCTTCGCTCTAGTTCAATATTTTCATAAAACAGAACCCAACTTGGAGTCAGAAGCTTCATAAGCGAGCAGTATTGAACAGTTTACTGGAGTAAATTGGCTTCACTTGGAACGCCGTATCATTAAATGCTTCGTTTGATTGAGATGGCGGAACTTTAATTCGATAAGGCTTAGGTATATCGCATAGCAATACTAGTGGTGAACCCAAGGACCCGGTTCTAGTATTCGCTTTAAGTTTTGGTCACATTTACTTGACTACGAGGTGTGTGTAGGGGAGTGGGAGGAGCAAAATCACTCAAGTCAGTTGTCAAGTGCCTGTCTAACTTCCTAATGGCCGTTTTCACGACGGAACTTTCGCAGAGGAACTTATTTGATACCTAAAAAGTACCTACCCTTAGAGGCCTTAACATCCCTCAAACTGAAATATTTTATGTTCAAAATAATTTTAGAAGTTTAAATCCGGGCATTTTTTGGCCTCAAATCACTTATTTATTTACAAACACAGCATTTTTTGGTTCTAGTAGCCCACCTTTCGACTATGAGGTATTAAATCAGCGTGGCAACTTGCTCCCTCTTTGCTCCCTCGGGTATCTAATTCCGGAATTCTTAAAAACAAGGAAAGTATATATCGAGTTCTCTTTTATACCTATTCAGTTATGTTTTAATGGCGATTAAAATATGACAAATTTTTTAATTACATTTCATATAAGAAAACACGCAAAACAATGAAACAAAAATAACTACGGCAGATAATTACCTTCAGGTATCTAATTCCGACCAATCAGCACCTCAGTAGGATATGACGTCATACAAGAATGGTGGTGAAGGCCGTTTGCAGTCCCGGCCGGTAGGTCACGTGACCGCCGGGCGCCTCGGGTCACGCGGCGGTCGGGAGTCGGACGCGGGGCGTGGTCGCGGGCGGACGCGCGGGGCATCATGCTTTGCTTTGCTTGCTTTGTCAACTTCATATAACTTATTATCGCATTCGTGTGAAAGCCAAACACTGCTCAGTGCCCTTAGAAATTGAGTTTTGGAAAGCTCAAGTCCTTATAGCTCCTCAGGTCGGCAACAGTTGAAGCCTCATCTGAACCCATGTGAAAAAAACGAGGGTAAGGAACCTTGTGTTGCTTTTTCTTTTACCGTCATAATTATCTCAAACCATCACAATTTTGAGTTGCCACATTGTCTGCTTCACTACATTCGTGTAAAACTTGGGTGAAGGCTGGTGGCTCAAAGAAAGGTGAAGATATTTCTTTAAGTGCCTAATCCGTGAAATATCCCGGCTTTACAAATCTACACTTTTCATTTTCTCCACGATACATTTTTTAAAATTTTAATTGTTTAAATTTAATCTACATTTGTTAAAATCGGGGCTTTGGTTTTGTGTTAACTAGATCATAAAGTTTACTATAGTTTTGTGTAACCTGATGGCTGAAGAAAATAGTAATTTTGCTAAAATGATGTGCGGAAATGTGTTGCTTTCCAAATCAAATTACTCATACCTATATTTCATTCAAAATTAGGAGGCATTATTACTGTTTTTTCTTGTAACATGAACTGAGTTTGGGTACGGTGCTCCGGAAACGTTGTGGAACTTTAAGCTAGCTAGAGCAGTTTCCATAAAAATTGTTTAGATAGTTGACATGGCTTGTTGACAACTCTTTTGCTGTTTCTAAAAAAGTGAAAAAAAAATATTTTCCTGCATTAAGCACACAAGGCATGTTATTCTCATAAGCTGTCGAATGTGTGTGTGTTTTTTTTTTTAAAGCTGTTTTTTAAGCTTTTAAGCTGTAACTTCAGTTACTTCACTTTAGAACATATTGCCCAGAATGCGTCACTGATCATGAGCTGGTATATCATATCATATGTAGCAAATACATAAATGAGAATAGTGTGTCATGAATTTTTGTGCATGCTTCTGGATCATCTGTAATTACATCAAAGGCTCGGCTCAAGAGTGTCCTGCCGACCAGCTTATGCCCAACCCTTTCTGTCCGCAGAACGTCGCCTGCGACTCCCGCACGCCGTTTGCCCCGGCCGTCCGTACTGGTCTTCGCGCTGCGAGCCGCGCTGGAG